TGACCCCGAACGGGCTGCCTTACAACATAACATAAATGTTTACACATATACTTGTTTAAACATACAGTTTTAACTAACATGTATCACACCGCTTCGCAAAGCAAAATAATAATACAATGTAACGTTACACTTTGAGTAATAAACTAATATCATTACTTTACGCTTAAACTCGCGGCATGTGCACGTGGTAAAATCCCCGTATACAATTCAAACACTTTCTCGTGGATAAAAATAGAATAAGGTCAATTAACATAATACTGCATTACTTTTTAATATAATAAATGTAAGTAAATTACACTTACCCTGATTGGAGATTCAGTTACCACGAAAAATTACCTAACCCTCCATGGACATGTGAAACTACTTTCACTGGTCAAGGAAAACGTGCGCTACCCAAGACAAACCTGACATCACCTTATATAGCGACTGGCCAAATATTTAAATCACCTGAGCGTCACAATGGGGCTCCTTGCAGGATAAACACTAAATACAAATAAGGCTCAACACAGGGCAATACTAATAAAAGAAAACAAATAAACATGTAACAAAATCAACTTTGATTGTGACAGAATGGATGGTTACATGTTCGAAAGTCAATGAAGTGACAGAGAATGCCCAGCATTCCTCCCCTTTCAGCACACAATGGAGCTTCTTTGTATGTGTGTAAAATGTTTGGTTGACTGCATGGGATAGAATATATATATATTACTTATATATGAGAAGCATTTTATTCGAAAGACAATCCAATGTGCAGATTTCGCACGTAAAACATGGTTTTCTTTTCTATAAAACTTCTTCATGTGATTTTCTTTTTGAAGACGGTAATCAAATATTGTACATTTGTGTCGAGGACTTTAAAAGCTGCTCTGAATAGGCCCCTGACTTACACGTTTTTCTTAGTTTTTTTTTATTTATTTTTTTTTTTTTTTTTTTGCTTTTGACTATCTTGTATATTTTCAGAGGTCCTTCTTAATAAGTGTGAAACTTGCCTCATCACAACCTGTTTTTTTTATGTGACATGTATGGTTTTTTAAACTGCAGATCGGATCGCACAACTAACTTTAATATTGAGAAGGTATAAGTCTAATTTTCACTTTCATAGATTTATTCATAAATCACGAGAGGATCGACTCTTATAATTTTGTTGTTAACTTATATAAAGGGGCTGTGTGTTTGGCAATCTTCTAAATATTAATTACATGTACGAGATTTTACTGTAAAAAATATATGATTTTTTTTTTTAAAAAGCCCTCTCACTTTCCTCCTCATATTTTTTAACACATAAGGACATAATTATGTATATGTAGCTGAGCACTTAGAAAAAAAAGGATCAATGGCACTCATTATTTACAATAATATACCATATTTTTCAAAAGCCCAAGCCACTGTCCCCTAATGCTGTTTTTAAGTCTGTGTTTTGAAAGCAAAGGTTGGACAAGGGAAATCAATTATCAAAAATAAATTGATAGAAAAATATTTTTGTTGTTGCTGGTTTTGAAAGATTTGGGCTGAACTAGAGCGGTAAAATTGAAAGTGAATTTTACTTTTAAATATTTGTGGTGTATTTTCAAAGTCAGCGAATCATAAGACTATTTGAACTCCATTGACATATTTTTAATTAATGTCAGAAAAGAGTTAATTGATCTTTTTTTGATAAAAAGACAAAAAAAATGTTTACAACAAATTAAGCATATTTATATTAATCAGAACCGCAACACAGTACCTAATTAATGCGAATAAGTAATTCATGTTTTTATTACGTCGCTATAACGTCGACGTCGCTACAATAAAAAAATTAAAAATAAAATATGACGCCAGCCGTATAAATGATGCATACTTTGATTACCTGTAAATCCATAACGGAGCAAAACACACCTTTAATATTTACAGGTTATATTCATCTAAGGTTCTACATCATTTTAAAAAAAAAGCCATTTTCAAAAAAATTTGACTTTAGGGGTTTTTTTTGCTTGGAACGGCTCATTTAATAAATAAATATTGCATTCAGTTGTGTCTAACAATTTTTTTAACGCGAGGTATCAATTATCGACAAGGCTCTCCAGGGACAGGGGTGAAAACTGTCAAAATTACACGTACATGTAACTACATGGTATATTTATTTTATTCTACATCACGATGTTTGAACAGTGAACCTTGAGAGCATAAATTCTTCACAGTAACTGTTTTTGGAATATCACATTCTTAAAGAAATATCGGCTTTTGCTACGCTAGAGGATGTTAGTTCATTATTTAGCTGGAGATAGTGATTTTTAACATATATTTTAAACAAAGCGTTCTCAGATAATTCACATTTAAGTGCAATATATTACAAAAGATAGGCTATGGGAAAGATTAAAATAAAACCGCAACATAGGAGAAAATTGAATAAGTTATAAGCTTTAGGACTTAAATTGATTTTAAAAAAAAGTAATCCTTTAATTAGGAGGAACATTGATTTAATACATACGAGGGTTGTTCGAAAAGTACGTAGACTACCTGTCATATCTTTTTAGCTCACCTGAGCCCAAGGCTAAAGTGAGCTTTTCTGATCACATTTTGTGTGTCGTCCGTCCGTCTGTCTGTCTGTAAACTTTTTTATATTTTCGACTTCTCAAAAACCACTGGGCCAAACAAAAGTAAGGTGGGGTCATTAGAAATACTTTTCTCGAGACCAACCAGGGCAGAAAATTTGGAACTTATGTTGATGCATCCTGGGGAAGTGTAGATTCTAATTTTGCAAAAAACGACCCCTGGAAGTTGGGTGGGGCCACAATGGGGAATTAAAGTATACTTTGAAATATATAGGAATATCTTTAAAAATAATCTTCTCAAAAACCATTGGGCCAGGAAAGTTGAAAATTTGTAGAAGCATGTTGGGATAGTGTCAATTGTAAATTGTACAAATCATGACCCCAGGGGGTTGGGCGGAGACACAATAAGTTATCAAAGTTTTACATAGAAGTATATAGGATTTTTTTTTAAAAAAGAATCTTCTTCTTAAGTACCACTGGACCAAAAAATTTGAAACTTTTGTGGAAGCATTCTGTTGTTTAAAGTAGATTCTAAATTATACAAACCATGGAGTACGATTGGGTCACAATAGGTTTTCAAGGGGAAATCTGGCTAAGATTAACATGGTCAAAGCTTCTCAGGTGAGCGATGTCGCCCATGGGCCTCTTGTTTATTTAACGTCATAGGCTATTAAAATTTTGTAAAAATATGTAAACAATAAATCAAAATTAATTGTATTGAAAGATATTATAATTATAAATTTTAAACTTATCCAGAATTAAGAACTTCAAAAAATTGGATTGTTGAGCAGGGAAAATTTACGCAGCTAGGTTAAGGACTCCAGTAGGTACCTCAGCTTATACAGAGTTTTGAGAATTTGATTATGTTGTCACGGTAAAACGAATTTCGGCGAATAATAAATAATATTTTTTTTCATACACTCTTACATGCGGTCATTTCTCATAAATATTGTTAATATAAATCAGTGTGTAACTTATCTCATTGTCCTAACACTATTTGAATATAGAATTAAAGCCACCATGATCTCGCTGTACTGACTGAGAAGACGTCATAGACTTGTCTGACACGCAGTTTCTGATTACTTGAGACGTAGATCAAGCTATTATTGGGGCTTGTAAATATGAAATTGAAAATCAAAATAACGTGATTTGACCAAAACAAGTTATATTTTTGAATGTTTTATTCATATTTTTCCAATTTTAATAAATTGAAAGCTATTAGGATTCATATTAAGCCGAAGTTATGCACATTTATACATTAATGAATTAAAATCACACAACCCCTCGAAATTCTCAAAGTTCAACGATATTCACTTAACTAAAAATAATAATTTTTTTACTACTTGTAGTTTTTGTCCCTACTATGGAGCAAGTTGTGCACTGCTGCCTTTTTCGTAATTTTACATTATTTCAATGAGTAAAATCTTAATGTGATCTTCATTTGAAATACTTTTTTTTCAACAGATGGTTAAATTTTATATTCTTTCCGGGCAAGAGGAAGCTGCTCCACAGTACAGTAAAGGTTACAAATGGAAATATCGGCGATTTTTTTTAAGATAAAAATGTCATACTTAATAGGGATATGCGATTCTTTTTAGGACTTCATTAATATAAAAGAAATGTAATGTGTTTCAAATCTACATGTTGAGGTCATCTAGATTTTTTATTTACTAAAATAGTTTTGTCACATAATGTTGAAATCACATGATTTTAGCAATTATATTTTCAGGTCAGACGTCATCTATACATTCCAATATTGCAGGGGCATTAACAAATTAAAAATCTTAGTTTAATTTATAATCCTTTTCAACACAAAATGTACTTTGTGAAAAGTACTGCGAACCAATTTAGATTCCCTTAATTAATTGCTAAAATTTAAGTTATTGGACGGCAGGCCGAATATTTTGCTGGTAAATTACTTTAAATTTAGCTATAATTAATTTTGCAAGATTTCATGAGGTTCGAAACATTTTTCTAATATCTTAATGCTTCTTGAGTTTATGAGTAAAAGATTATGTTTTCCGTACATTCTGCCTCTGCAATTATTGGGCAAACCTTGGAAGATTTCGTCATTAAGATAGTTTGCCGAGTCCTTCTGATATGAGAAAGACGGTGCAAAACAAAGGAAAATGTTTGTGCAATAAATCTTGCATACAAAAATGATCAATCTGTTTCAACGAAAGCATAAAAAGTTTTTTTTTTGGTATTTTCTATGTAAAAAGCATGGTATTTAGAATTAATTAATTTTTAATAATTAATTTTTTAACCAATGAAATAACCTAATAGAAAAAATTTTAATAGATTGATTTATATCCAGTCACATAAGAGAGGAAGACTGCACAGTCCAAATACCGTAAAATGCTAAACACTGTATACTGTGTTCAAAAAAGACGGTAATGAACTATTAGTTTTCTTATAGTTTATATAGGAACTATCTATAGACTATAAAATACAAAGCGTCATTTTCAGTAAAAATAACAGAAGAGGTACTGGGATGGGACATAGATGCCAGAAAAAGATATATCGAACTATCCAAGAAAGGAAGAAAATCCATGTACAGAGCCAGGGGAATGATAGTGGGCTGTGCTGGCGCAGGAAAAACAACTCTTCTTAGACAGCTTCAAAGAAAACAAACACACGATTGTCATAGTTCAACTGAGACGACTGTTGGTCTTGAAATCCACGAAGATCTCTTTGAAATAAAAGATGGCACATTGATAGGTGATTTACGAAATATTTTATTAAAAAGATAATTATACTTATTTATCATATTTATATAAACTGAAAAATTACACTTTTATAATTACAGTCATGTATTTTAATATGATTTGATTTTACAATCGGAAAGGAAATTCTAGAGTTCTTTATTTGGAATTAATTTTCTTGGATATACATTTGTTTTATTTTAAACAGATACCAAAAAGGATGAATTTGATTTCATTAAAAGTCAAGGCAAACAGATTATAAGCATGACGGACTTCGCCGGTCAAGTAGCGTATTACGCCTGTCATCAGATTTACCTCTCAAGAAGAGCTTTTTATCTGGTTGTTATGGACATGTCTAAGAGACTGGATGAAGTAGTTCACACACAAGACACTGATCGACACAACCCAATAGGATCTTTATTTCATGGCTGGACATACAAAGGTAATTTCTAAGCACGCCTCTATAAAGAGAAAAAATACCGTTTTTAAAGATTTGTTATTGAATATCATTTTTGTTCTGCAGTTTAATGAATGAAACACACGGAGATAACGAACAGTATTCAAGATCAATAGTCCGTTAAACGATATGAAATAGGAGCAGAGAAAACACAGACCTGTAAAACTTCATAGGTGGGACAAGGTGCCATGGAGAAGTAAGCATCCCCTGGTGACCGTTCATACCTGCTGTAATATCATTGTCGTGATCGGCTCGTCAATTTTATGAATAAATATGAAAAAAAAAACACTTAGTAAAAATAATTACAGTCAGCATTTTAATTTAATGATAAATTGTACTTGCTGACAAGGTCATTGTATCGGCCAAAGAACTTAAGAAATCATGGTTTTAAGGAGAAGGGGGCTATATCCTTCAACGTCAGGGGAGAGTTATTAAACATCACAAAAGCAACGTTTCTTTTTTTACCTGTTGACGCCTTGCAATTGTGATGTAGGCCTAAAATTGTTTATACGAGGGTTGTTCCAGAAATAAAACGCTGTGTGATCATTGTCGTGATCAGGAAATAACTAAATTCGGTGGTCAATTTTTGTATAAATAATGGAAAACAGTGTCAGCATTTGACTTTACAAGAAATTGTATTTGCTAACAAAGTTTTTGTATCGGCCAAAGAACCTAAGAATTGATATTTTTAAGGGGGCAATGTCGGTCTACGTCAGAGAAGTCTTATTTCATTTCACAATAGCGACGTTTCTTTTTTACCGGTTGACTTCTTGCAATGGTGCTATAAACCTAACATTGATAATACGAGTGTTGTCCCGGAGAAAAAAAGAGCGAACTTTTTAACATATTACTGGACCAAAAGTATAAATTTTTGCACAAATTTGGGGAATTAAGATTTCTTAATTTTAGCTAAATAATTAAAATCTGTGACGTGATATGCAGTTAGATACAACATTAATTTTAAAGGGTGTTAAAAAGATAACGGTGGACGTCGCATGGTAATTTCTTGACTTTCTTGACTTTCAAATTTTGCACTGACAGCGGTGTTTTCTTCTTTATCCTACTATATAGGGAAATATAATGAATTAAAAATTAAATCCTTAGAAACTGTATGTTCTATATTTGTTCTTGCACGGGGAAAAATACTCTGACATTATAAAAAAGAAAATTATGACGTTATTCGCACAAACACTATTGGTTAGATATTGTCGAAATCGGCGACGTGGGAAGATAATGCGCAAACTTATCACTTACATGTAATACTGTGTGGAGCGGGGTTTGACACTTGTTCATAGGGGATAAGAGAAGTGTTTAATAGACCTACAAAAATGACAAAAAATGTCTAGAGCTGGACGTCATACTTTGAGATCGCCGCTAGCTATGCGAACAATTTTATTTTTGATTGGAAATTATTTAATTCCAAGGAATTGTTGTTCTGTTAGCTTTTTTATTAAGGAAAATGTCCCTTTCATAGAAGTCACGTGATGCCGTGGTGGTGGTGCACATTGCTGCGTTAGACACTCTTTTATCTTTATGCAATAAATAATAATAGTTTACATTTATCATCGGTTTTGGTAAATTATAAAACCTATTTTTTTTTCAAAAAGTCTAATTTTCCCGGAAAATGACATAAATGCTTCCTTAACATACCTGCGCGACAGCTAGTTTGAATTCTTTTTTGATCAAAGATAAAAAAAAATAGATTTATGTAGATGCATGTATTTCTTTGAAATTTCTGTGAATTGTGTTACAAATGTTGATTATCTCGTATACCAGCAAATATTGAAAATGCTTGCTTTTTTCTAGGACAACCCTCAAAGCCAATAACGTTTACAATTTATCCACGAAAATTTATACATCATACCTTACAGATTAATTTGATTTATAGAGTTTGTTGAGATCAGATTACCCCTCACCCTCTGTTGGTTGATTATTTACCTCGATATAATATGATATAAACCTCGATAATATGCTGATATTAATTCAAAAATATAAGGTAAAATTCAGCAAATAAAGAGGCTAAAATTAAGAAGATATGTTTAATTCTATGTTTTACATTTATTGTTTTTTTTCTCGATAAAACTAAGATTGTTTTGAAATGTACTTATATCTAGATCTGCTAAATGATTCGTAGATTTCATTATAAAGCCATGCATTTCTAAGTTCTATTATTTGCTTTCTGTTGACGGAGAAAAGGGGAAGGGACGAAAATGGAATCAAGAAGAAAAGATTAAATCAGCGCACGTTGTTTACAAATCAAAACAGAAAAACTTGTTTTCCACAAAATTACAGTTTATATTCAAATGTTCGTCAGTGCTTGGTTACCTTTTGATTTGTACAGAAAGGTCAAAATTAATGACACAGGCGTACAAAATGTAAAGGAAACTTCATATTTCAAATATTTTTCTTTATGTGAGTCTGACACATCTGGACACTGTATATAGGGAAATTTTTGCCCCCGTTTTATTTTCGCTCCTTTCGCCCCTTGTCACAAGTGGGCAAATTTAAAAGGGCCGAAATCGAGGAACACAGTATAAATTCTTAAACAAAATTGTGACTGGGGGAATTATAATCGGGGCAAATGTGTAAGGGCGAAAATAACACGGGGCGAAAATAACCCTTTATACAGTATTCTACTTAAAAAAGACGTTATTTGAATTAAAAAAGCCAAGCCCTATGAAAAAAGTGAATACTTTATTTTTTCTATCGGCAACTTCCCTTACAAACATAGTGTATGAAGTAATATACTATTATCGTGGGACATGGTTGTGTATAATATTGAAAAGTCCAGATTCTTTTACTCTGGAGTTTGGTAAAATCTTGGGATTTCAAATTGTCCAAAAGTTGTCCATTGTTGCACAGTAAATAAGTAACAATAACTTGTACTAAGTCAATGAATATGGTTGCATGGGATCAAACGATTTATAAAGTGGGATATTATATATACATGTAACAATATTTATATTTCCAATGTCGATAGAAATTACAGATAGAAATTGTACTTTATTTCTACATAAATGTACTCAATAGGCACGGTTAAAAATCAGGTGCAGGACCGGAAAAATAGAGACAAGAAGCGGTGCTTCTGGTGGGTGGATTGGTGGGATCACGATCATGTAAAAGTAAGGAATAATTGTCAGATGTGTCGATTTCATGACGACGATCAATCGATTGGTTTGCCTGATAATTTTATGCATAAACGCCTTCGGCAATTACGGAAATTATAAAACAAGTCAATCGTTGATCACATCGTGAAATCAAAATACTCGACAGTTATTCCTTAAGGTGGAATGCCACACAAACTTTTTATTTTATAGATCTTTGAGTCCTTTTTAAACAATGGGTTCAGCATTGAAAGGCCGATATTAGCTCTTAGTTATTTTATATGATTTTTTATCAAATGAAAAAGAAATTATATCCAAAAAGTTGTTTTCGAGTTAAAAGTTTGCTGTAAATGAATCTCTAATTCATTCTAATTAGAAGTGAAAATCTAATGAAATTTATAATGAAAGGCTGGTTAGACTTTTTAATTTTTTCTATAAAAAATATTTATGAAAATAAAACACATTATTTCTGAATATTTTTTAAACCTTTTGTTAAAAACATCATGAAACTAGTCACAACTGAGGACAACTTGTTTGTCAATCATATTTTAAGAATTAATGAAACGAAATCGAGAAATTTTAGAGAAATTAATTTTTTTTAATATTTGGACCTAACCCGATCCAAATTAAAATGATTCCGATCAAAATTAAAACAAAATGAATAAAATGCTTATTTATTGCCTCTTCATATATTTACAATGAAGAAATCTATTTAATTGTCAAGGTAAATAATGTTTTAACCCTTAATACACCACTTCAGACTAGTGTTCTTGGGAAATATTATTTATTTTATATTTTATTTTGGTCTCGTGACGGCGTGCAATCGCGCCCTTAACAATAATCTGCATTTTCCTTGTTTGTATTTTATTTATACCTATGTATAAGATTTCTTATAAAAGTGCTGAAGAAGTTTTTTTCCTCATTGTAAGATTACTTCCTTTTCTGGCTACGGTCAATAAAAACGTATTGCGGGGATGGAAACAGACTGAAAACAAAGGCCAACCCAATTATTGTTATTGCATCTCACCTTGACTGTATACAGGTACAAAAAATGTTGATACTCTTATAATGAAATATCTGTTTTATTCATGTTTAATTGTTAGCGTTTTCTTTTGACAAACAGTGTGCTTTAAAACAAATACATTTTTATTATATAGATACTATGTATAATTCATTTCTGTCTAATTCTATTATAAGTGTTGTCTCTCTCGTATGAAAGTTTATATTATACTTCATATTAAATGCATTTTATCTTCAACTAAAACATGCACGTCACTTTTTACAAACTATGAGGGTAGTATTGCGTAAATAACACATTTCGTATACAAAAAGGTCGGGTTCGGTTTACTATTTTTTAAATACAACAAGTGTTGTGTATTTAAGGAATGAAGCTAATTTCAACTTATGTTATCCGATATAACATAACTTGGGGCAGTTTACGCTTTCTGAACCACGAATCGAAAAAGACTTCAAATTGAGCATTATTTTAAAAGTAACGTCAAGCTGAGTAATACGTTTTTGACGTAACTCATTGTGACGTAGGCAAGTTATGTTATCCAAAATATCATATGTTCCTTTGAATGATTCAGCCAATGAAATTGCTTAATACAGGTGAAATTAAATTATTCACCCTTAAAAGTTTATCCACACATGTCCCGTTTGAGGTCCACAGCTCAAGTGGGTTGTAACTGACGTTATCCCTCACCCTTGCAAGTCTTTATATAATTTTTTATTTATTTATTATGTTGAATATCTTAAGCACTTCATAACATTGGAGTCGCTGGTAGGATCTTTCGATCGATTGTTTATATTTCGCGCCATTTTCCCTTTGTTTATTTTCAATATTTTGTCAAATCAAATTCCTTTTCAAAAAATAATTCAATAGCGGTTTACATCATTTCCTAACTATCTTCTCATTTTTTTTTCAATTAAATTTGATTCGTTGTCGGATTGTCTGAAAGCGATCATAGACATTTCACTCTTTATTTTTTATCGGACTTTCTTTTAGTTAATCAACAACACGTCTGTTTTTTCTTCCTTTATTTTCTAAATAAAATAGAACAACAACCAAATGACATCTAATGAAAACCCTGTAGACGTAAACAATGCCAACTTAGGGAAATTAAAATCAATCCCAAACTTAGGAGAATAAGGGACAGGGCTTAATATCGGAATAAGAGAGGGCAAAGTGACATTCTCTGTAGGAACTCAACTTGCAAAATTACAATCATAAATAGTTAGGTTAACAAAAGGGAAAACTGCTCGCCAACAACAAATAAGATTTTTTTTGGAGAATGCATTAAGATCTGAATATTGTGAACAAATGCAAAATTTACAAAAATAATTTAAAACAGTTAGAAAACACAAAAGCAGACTTTGAAAACACAATTAGTGAGAAAATGGCAGGAAAGAACAAAGAACTTGTGGTGATGGAACAAAGACCTTTGGCAGATGGTCAAATAAACTAAAAAATTTAGAAAATAAAACCAAGCAAGTTGAAAATGAAACTCAGCAGAGAAGAAGACAAATTAGCCCCACTGGAAATTAACAGGAAATCATCATATGTGAACCTTAATACCAGTCAACCAAAACTGTCAACATCTGATGGAAAGAATAAATAAAACTTCTCTCCCAGATGGATAACGGATTTGGAAAGGAAGACCTCCCTCATATCATTAGAAAAAACGTCAATACATTAAACAGTCATGAGGAGTCAGTATAAGAATTTGAGGACAAATATGGCAAGTCAAACGTTGCAATATTCGATCTTTTCCATTTGTATTTTTTTTTTCATTGGTATTGTATAATTTTTATTTGTGATGCATAATTTTCCATATGTATTGTATAGTTTTCCATATGTATTGTATAATTTTTATTTTTATTGTATAATTTTCCATTTGAATTGTAAAATTTTCTATTGTATTCTATATTTTCCATTTGCATTGTATAATTTTCAATTATATTGTAAAAAAATCATCTGTATTGTATAATTTTTTATTTGTATTCTATGTTTTTGTATATTTCTGTATTTTATAATTTTTTCATTTGCATTGCATCCAAGGGATTGTTTATTTTGGTTTGTTACGAACCCCCCCCCCCCACGGTTCTGAGGCCTGTGAGAGTGCCTTTTCATAGTACCTTTCTTGGTCGGTTTACTCCCCCCAAACACACACACACTCACACTTTCGATTACCCCTCCCCCCACTTTCATTTTGCTTTCGACGCCCATGCAGTGGTCTGTTTTGTTTTCAGTCTCGGTGAAATAAAAACAGATCACAGTATGGGCGTACTTCAGAAGCAAATTGAAAGTGAGGAGGGGGGTATAATCGTAATTAAGGGAGGGGGGCTAAACCAACCAAAAAAGGTAAATCCCAATTTCCAATGCCTTTATAATGTCTGCTTTTAAAATAAAAAGTTGTGTCCCCTCTAGCCCCCCTCCGTTCCGACACCTTTGCGACAGAGTGCAGATATATTGACTGTTATGAGCGCAGCCCTTTAAATAACTGGTTAGTTGCTGTATATCGAGGATCAAATAGGTCAGCAAGTTTATGCTTAGACTGGATAACATATGTAAACATCCCGAACATATATCTCAGGTATTACCAAACCCGATATATGATTAGTTTAGACCAATGAAATCCTTCGAAACAAATCAAAATAAACACAAACATTCCCTCGTATACAATGCAAATCAAAAAATTATACAAAACAAATGGAAAATATAGAATACAAATAAAAATCATACAATAAAAATGATTTTTTTGAATTTATTTTTTTACAATATAAATGAAAAATATACAATGCAAATGAAAATTATACAATACAAATGAAAAATTATACTTTATAAATGGAAAATTATAGAATACAAATACAAATTATACAATACAAATGAAAAATTAAACAATGCAAATTGAAAATTATAGAATACAAATAAAAATGATACAATTCAAAAGGAAAATTTTACAGTACAAATGTTGCAACGTTTGACTTGCCACAGACAAAGTCTTAGACATGACAAAAGAAGGACATCTTGACACACCTAAAAGTGGTCAGCAAACTGTAGCATTAGATGCATTTCTAAGGGGATGTACAAACAAACAAGCTGCTCTCACTGCAATAAAGAAAGATCCACCCACATAAGACATTGCAACACAAAACATAGAAAGTGTCATCACAAATCAAAAGTCTGAAACAAAATAGGGGGCGTTCGAGAGTTCAAAGAGCGAGAGTGAGGAAGATGAAGAGAAAGATATCAAAATTAATGTTATTTACAACACGAAACAAACTTTAACTCAATACATGTACACAAAAGAAACAGAAGTGTCGAATCTAGTATCAAGAGTCAAAAGGTTAGAAGACGAGACAAGGGAAATGAAAACTAACATTCAAGAATCCTCAAAGTTTTAAAATCCTCAAGTCAGAAAAAAATGCAGTTTAAACAGTAGCGATAGTGTAGGAGTTAGATCTGAAAAAAGTCGCCCAAGTAAACGTGTGTAAAGTGTGAACAATGAGGTCACTTTGACAAAGAACATCCTTACGTCAGAAACAAGTTACTAACGACATCTCAGTCGAATTCTTTAAATTTCGACAGGTTGAAGATGTAGGATACCCTTCAAGCTTTCTAGACACCTCAGATAGGCATTGTTCAAGAGTAACATTCAAAGTTGCAGTTACGCACAGACATTACATCATTAAAACTAAAGTAGCGAAATCAAAATAAAGAAAAAAAATGAATTTTGAAGTATAATGCAAATTTTACATGTTTTTTATAAATACATACATGTACATGTACCTTGTGTAACATATAGTACATCATTTATGTAATGACTAAAAAAATAAATTGAAATTCATTATAACCCCCTCATTATTTAAAGACAGGTAGAAAAAAGAATTAATATATTCTTTTCCTCAGTAGCAAGTGTTAATGTAAAAAAATGAAGTTCCATTTAATTTTTACAGTTCGAGAAAGTAGAAACACACAATGCTCAAATTGAAGATTTTACCTTCTATGACAAATTGGAGGAGTGTTTACCAGGACAACACTTACTAAAAGATAACATTTCGAAGGAACGTTACTTTGAAATTCAATGTCCACCGAAAAAATTAAATGAAGACCAGCTGGAGGTAATTGAAAATGTCAGGAAATGTATTGTTAAGACTGCAAGCCGCCTTGCCCACTGGGGTGAACAAATTCCAGTTAATTGGACCATATTTGAAGATTTTGTACAGAAAAACAAAGAAAAAAGAATTTTGAGTAGAAGTGAACTACAGAACATATCTGAATTAGATTCCTTACGTGAAATTGAGAAGGAGGATATGCTTAGATATTTTAAAGAGATAGGACTAATAATATACTTTGCTGAAAAGAATCTAAAAGAAAGTATCATAGTAGATGTCCAGTGGTTTGTAGATGCCTTTAAAAATATAATAACAGATCCTACTCATGCTCGTTCATTTTGCAAAAGTGTTGAAGAATGGAAGACTTTTATGAGCACTGGGAAAATTACTGATTCAACACTTGCTGAGTTATTGAGTGAGCAAAGCTCTTTGTATGTATTTCATAAAAGTATCATTATACAGTATATGGAAAAGCTTGGCATACTGGCCACAATACAGACACAGGAAGGGAAGATGAACGACCCACTACTAGTAGAGCATGTGTACTACATTCCTAGTATTAATAGGACTGAATTTTCAATTGAACATAGAAAGGTTATGGACAACGTCAACAAAACCCCTGTTTTGGTTTTTTCTTTCAAAACTTTCATCCCACACTTCTTTTTCTTTAGACTTGTAGCTTTGTGCTTCTCTGTGTGGGAACCCTTACGTGATGACCTACTCTGTAAAAATGTTGCTTTTTACAAAAGCAAAGGTGGTCACCAAAGAATTGCTATTGCGGTTAACAAGTCCTCCATTCAGTTGCAAGTATTTACTCCAGATGATACAATCCAGCTAAGAAGTGAAAAAACCAAAGAAATCAGAGTTCACATAGAAAATATGATTAAAGACATAACCACCACATTCCATCACCAAGTCTTGTATAAAGTCGGATACCCATGTAGAGATATAACCATCACAGATGAGGATGAGTACTGTTTCTTAAGCGAAAGAACAGTAGCAGAGCTGGAAACCAATGAAATAATTTGTCCAAACTATATACCTCCAACAAAGCATGAGAGACATAAAATAGTTCGTGATGAATTGTTGTATTATTGGTACACGGTAAGCAATTTACGAAATTAAATTTTAAAAAAAGAATAATTATTAGAAATTTTATCAGAATGAATTTATTGCTGTTTTTGAATAACTGATGTCGTGTTTATTTTTTTTTATTTATTATCGTTGGTTTCATTTCGAAAATATTTTTTGATGCTTCAGGGTTCTCATTTTTAAATTTTACTGTGTTGCAGAGTCTGCGCGAAATACTACAATTTTGCTGTATTTACGCGATTCAATTCTCAACTAAATCACTATTCATTTTAATTACAAAGGAATACATACATCAAAAATCTATAATTCTATACACAGGTGGCATGGTCGTACATATTGCTAAAAGTAAAAGCACATGTTCAGAAAAGCAGAGGGAATTCTGGTTGATACTGTTGAACTACAATATGTACTTAACAATTTGGAAAATATATCTTCCGTGATTATATATGTCAAATTTCGTGATCAAGCTACCAAATAACAAAAAAAAAATCAGAATAGTAAACTACTTTTAAGACTTCCTTGAAAATGTTCAAAATTTTAAGCAATTTATTAACATCAATTAAATGAATTCGGTACAATGTTATGTTTAGAGCCATGGCTCTAAGAAAAAGCATACATGTATTTAAATATATTTTTATATTAATACAATGTATTAAAATACAACTACCAAATACCCGTTACATGGAAGTGTGAAAATAAAATATATGTCTTTGTTCCAACATGCGTAAAGGCCCTTTCACAATTGGCACACGAGCAGATGCGGCAAAATATTCGTGCGACCGAATAATTTTGTTTAGGATCGTAAACTGTTGCCAAAATAATCGCATATGAAAAAAGTGTTCGTACGAAATTTGCACGATTTAAAGCGACTGTTGTACATTAAATCTTGCGATATCTTTTGTGTCTATATGCAACTGTTGCAGAATGAAAGCGATTGTTGTAAGATAATGCCATGGGATGGCACGACTGATCAGGTAATGGGACGATTGAACTTGCGACAATACGATTGGACGTGCGGTACTTGTACGCTCATGCATTTCATAGTACGAATGTTCGTGCGAGTCAGAGGGCCGGGTATATATACCACCCGTTTCCGACGCTCTTCAGTTGACAGAGTTAAGATGCTTATAATTATACAGGGTATTTATACCTGTTGCAAAGAATGGCGATTGAAGGTGATAAATCAAGCAATGATTGTAAAACGTTGCAAGATTACATGAGACATGTTGAGCAACAGTCTCATGGTCGCAAAACACACGAAAAGACAGCTGCGATTCATCTTACGATCTTTCAAAATCGTACATCACTCTTACGAGTACATAAAACGTTGTAAGATGTTCGTACTAATTTTCGTGCGTTGAATTGCGATAATTAGGATCGCATTTGGTCTCGTCTGAATAGTGTGCATGCTGACTATTTTGAAGAGACTTGATGCGACCACTAAAACACATGCAATGAATGCGAAACATCGTGCAACGTATGCGCGAGAGCTCGTGCGAAGCTAAAATTTTCCGATCGCAAAGTGTTGTAAAGTGTTCGTGCGCAAATTGTGAAAGGGCCTTAAAGTCTGACAACAGTCTAGGAGATATTTGATTATGCAAGATGAAACCATAGTAATTAGGTGCTCTACCTTAGAATTGAAAGACAGTAGAATTGTTTGATTAAAGTTTCAGTTAGAGAGAATTTATATGTTTGGAGTTTCTAATAATCACAGATTCTAATGTGTCGAAAATAATTTTAATGTGTTGCTCGCATAAAATTTGAAACGTAACTGTGTCGAAGAAAATTTTATTGTGTCTAGAACAACGCAGTAAAACAGCTCATGGAGAACCCTGTGCTTCATTTACAATTATTATGACGTTCATTACTTTTTTCGTAGGATCCAGAAAAGAATATCAAGAATTAGCACACGCAACAGTGACGTAACAGATTTTGAATTGAAATTTAAGGACTTGGAAAGTTCAGGCAAACCCTGAGCATTCTGCGCAGCAATTATTATTTTTCCATAACTGTTACTGTCTAATTTAAATTTCTGTACATACATGTATTCATTTCCTATAGTCAAGAAAAACTGGAAAACCTTAACATAGTCTGATCTGATCCTTCGTTGCCTTGTCTTTGATGAAGATACAAGGTTGATATTGCAGTAATAATGGAGTTTATGTATTGTTCAAAGAATATATATTTCAGTTTTTTATGAACATATCTTTTATATTTGACCTTTGTTATCAGCACAATGTGCGTTTTATCCCGATATTTTCTACGCTTCTTCAACAAGTAAAGAGAATGTTAATTAAATGAATTCTGTTTTCAGAAACGTTATTTGCTTTTATTTGCAATAGTTTAAAATCAGTCAAAAAATTTATCTCCTTGAAATGTTTTACCGGGAATTATGTGATAAAACAGCTATTTTTAATGACAGTTTAAAGAACTCAATATGCCACAAAACAAAATATACAAAGTTAAAATGATAAACTTTTAATGTTTCCATTAGCTTTTAATTAATAAACTTTTAATGTTTAATGTAAGCTTTTAGCTACTGATTTAGCACATTTTATGTATTAATATGTATAACGTACAGTTAATATATTATAAAATCAAAGTCTCCTCGAAGTATTTAAGTCGTAAATTGTGAATGGGTAAATCCAGTTTTTTTAATTTATTGATAATAGGATATACGTTGAATATTTCAGCTGGCAAAATTAATTGTGTGTATTTAGGTCTAATAGATTGTTTTAATATACATTTCAATAGCTATATCAGAGCTCTTTACTTCACATTTAATATGTAAGACTAAGGATTTTTGTTCAATTTTTTATCATCTCATCTTTTTAAACCATGTAAATTTTTTTGTTGCAATTTGATTTCGAATATAAAGCTCCACATCAACGTTTATTGTGTTGACTTTAAAAAGGTTATCATGTAATCATATGTTTTCCTGTCAAATTATTTTTTTTTCGGGGGGGGGGGATAAAATTCTATGAAACATTCATTGTGCAACATAGTAGACCCTAAAATCATTTCATGTCTGACAAAAGGTTCCGACACACACATATTGGGTAATTAAAGTCTCAAAAGAAAAAAAAACTCCAAGATTTTAATGAATATATCTCGTAACTAGACAAAAGGATTTTAGGCTAACAAATGTTTTTTCGTGCATCTATTTCAATTATTTACAGTCTCAAAATTAAAGAAACTCAGTTTGTCAGCAGCTTATAAAATCATTGCTCATAAAATAGTACTGATGATACAGTCATATTAATAACTCATACTCAGCAGATTTGAAATGATTTCATCAAATGATAAACATGGCTTTGGACTTTTACGAGAAGAACTGACTTTTACAGTTGGACATGGACTTGGACATTTTAACCTGTATCAACTACGGAGGTACAGAATTGATAATGGATAAGAAAACCTTCCTAGTGGTCATAGAAATGGTGTTAGGTGCACTTATTTATTTTCGTTGAATTATATGTTGAGGTATATATTTCTATCGAAAGAAAGCTTCCATTCACTGTCCAAGTGTAAGAGTAAAAGTCAGCACTCCTCTTATTAGTCCATTAGTAATATGCCGTATTCCGGGCAAAAACATTATAACTCCAGCTATTTGTTGCATTAAAACAATGATCTTATTATAATAATTATTTCTTTTCCATGTTTTTTGACGTATATTTAAACAATTTTTATGAATGTGTGTAGTGATAACATAAACATTTAATCATATATAAATAAAATTATCTAGTTCAGTTTTCTGTATTTATTTAAATATGTTTCAATTTAATTGGTAAATTAAAAGTCACTAATTTTGGCAGTCCGATATTCATTGTCTTTATTTCATAAAAAAAATACACAGTTGTCTTAGACTTTAATATCAAGCTCACCAGGGCATATTGTATCGACAAAATTTCATATATATTGCCAACACCTTTCATCAGTGGATCCAATTTACAGTAGACGTATCTAATTCGAAAAACGTATTCCTAGATACTACATCTACCCTGATTGATGGTGAAATCGAATTCAGTCTCCACACCAAACCCACAGACTCCCACCAATATCTTATGCCCACTAGCTGTCATCCCCCACACACTTTTAAGGGAGTGCCTAAGGGTCTAGCCACCAGAATTTGACGCATCTGTTCGTCCCCTGCTTTATATCAGGAGCAAAGTGGTCTTCTTAAGTCCCACTTATGCAAAAGAGGCTACAATGCCCGACCGTACAAACAGCTATTGATAAGATGGCGGAACATGACAGACAAAACCTATTACGCTACAAGGAAAAAGACAATAGCAGCAGGGTCCCTCTGGTAACCACATACCATACCGTCCTTAAGAACCTTAGCGGTATCCTTCAAAAGAACCTACCAATTCTCCATTCAAACAAACGAATGACAGAGGTCTTTAAGGAACCCCCATTGTCTGCATACAGACGCCTTAGGAATCTAAAGAACGTGGTAGTAAGAACCTGACTGGACAACCCATTACTTATGGGGCTTTAAAACTTGCTCTGACAGGAGATGTCTTCTTTGTAAGCACATCACTGGCACAGACAGTTTTAACAGCCCTGTTACAGACTGCAGCTACAAAATACTAGGGAATTTGTCCTGACAACTGCATTTATCTCATCAGTTGCAAAGTTTGCTCCAAATAGTATATTGGTGAAACAGGAGATCTCCGTAGAAGAGTCAATAACCACCGTTCGACCACTAGGACCAAAAAACTTAATGAACCCGTCGGGGAACATTTCAACCTTGAGGGTCACAAATGAGAGGACATGACAGTAGGGGTGATTGACCATAACCAAGATAGACAGATGCTCAGAGGAAAAGCAAAGAAAAGTTATGGATGCACAGATTGAAGTCATTCCGCCCAAATGGTATTAACAAATTGAATGACATGATCATACTAAACAAAATTATTCTCTTAATTTAGTGTAAACTCTACAGTTAATTTGCGCCACCAACTCTCGAACAACCACATAACTATGTATTGCTTACGCCTTTGTTATAGTCTGTTCCACCAAGTTACTGTAAGCACTTTTCGCATAAAATCTCAAAATATATAAATACCTTGGCTTTCAACCCAGTTCCGATCGATAGATCATTTTTTTTCCAACCTTCCGCCGTTTATCCGAACCCTCGAGGTCAACCAGTGTATACACACGGCGGCAAATTCAAAGTCTACGGAGATTTAACATGGTAAACTCGTCCATTAGCGTCTAGATTACGGGGCCGGGAACCAGTTTTCGAAGGGAGTAGTCGTCCTTTGCAAAGTAAATTTCCAAAAAATCGTTAAAAATTCAAGGAATTAATTTAAATTGCTTTTATCGATAATATAACTTTTACTTTGAATTGAAATAAATCTTAACAGCATTTAACAAATTTAATTATAAACTACGAGAAAATAGTCCGAATCTAACAAAGTACAACTTGTGGATAATGGCTGTGGGCATGATGATGCAAGCTTGCCAGGCGCAGTGTTTAAAACGTAAGTTGTTTATATATTCTATGGTACTTTTTGCAGCTGTTGTTGTTTTCCTAGCTTATATACACACAAGAAAGAAGTGTCTACAAATGCTAAGAATGTAAATATATTTCAAAACGCGTGATATTGCTGACATTAGGACAACAGTTCTATTGTTAGTGCTCATGGTTAACCGTTCGTGTTCAGTAACGGTCTGAATGTAATATGGTTAAACAATTAGATGAAATAATACCAAAAAGAATATAACAGCTAGTTAACTTAGTAACTAAAGTTTTAAAATTTTATTCCTATTTTCATTTTCAATTTATAACATTCCATGTACATACTACATGCATTTGGCAAATAAATAATAAGCTAGAGATCTAAAGTGCATTTTTATTTTTTCATTTATGTGTAGTATCAACACCCTGGGGACATCAAAACAGTTTTCAATAGATGACACATTTTGGAATTATTTTTCAAAACTTTTTATAATATTAAAATGTGCATGTAATTTTTCATCAAGTCTTTGGATTGAGTTCTATAATGGTCATTTATGTACATGCATTCATATTGATGAACTAATTAGCAGAACCAGGCATAAAGTAGATGAATATGCACGTACTGTTTCAGAAAATAATGATTTGTCTTGACCTTGCAGTTTAAATGAGAAAGTAATTATATATGTAGTATTCATGAAAGGAAAACAGAAAAACTAAATAGAATAACATGTCTGATTAGTTTGATCAGCACAAGAAGTTAAGATAGGCTGAATTATTTCATCTGAGTACAGACTTTAAAATAAAATTGATATACATGTAACATCAAAGGGAATCTTCCATTACCCGGTTATACTAGCTGTCATGCACATATTCAGAGTTCAAATTCTCAGTCTGGTCATCTCGAAAAAAAAAATTGATTGCCCTGTCCCAACCAACTGGCTAAAATGACTCAAAACTTTTTTTTTTTATCTCCAAGAAGCAATTAACTTTTTTATACCCCCCGCTTGAAAAGCGGGAGGGTATATAGTAATCGTTAATTCCGTCCGTCCGTCTGGTACGCTTTAGGGTACCTATCTCTTATCCGCAACTATACCACTGAGTGAAATTTAACGAAACTTTCACAGAATCTTTATTACATATTGCCATTGTGCACCTCCTATTTTACTTTTTGATCTGACACATATTTTGGGTTTCCCGGCCATGGCAACTCATGGACTTTGTCATCAGTTATAACCATATGGGAGGCGGGGGGTATCATTTAGTGGGCTCATTGCTCACAGTACCTCTAGTTTGTATTCTGGAGAACACATTATTAATTTATAATTACTGGTAATTTTTCTGAGAATAATTTTCTCATCTACCTATATACCAACCTAATCCTGAGTTGGGAGAAGGCAGGCCTCAACAGCATTGTTTTTTCTGTAAAGTCCTATACTGCTCAAATGTGAACTTAATTTGAAAATTTCTGTTTCCTTAATTCCAAGATTTTCATTTAAAGTACTTGTTTTTAAAAACCGTAGAGCATAATTAAAATATTTTTGTTTGATGTACCCTGACACACATTTTTCAAGGACTTAGGTGGGTAGGTACGTATCTTTTTTGGCTTAATAATATTGATCAAATTGATATCAAAGTGTCATTAAAAAATTCCAGACTCGACAGAAATTTATTAATATTTTCAATACACACTGGATATCTAAGACAGATGAAATATATATTGTTAAAAAATTATTAATCTAAAAGCATCCAACAGAAATCACATACCACAATTTTAAAAGGAAACAGTATCTATTTCTAATAAATAAAACAATTTTTTTTTAAATCAAAAATTCAAAGTGCTGAAAAAATGATTGGGTTGGGCTATTTTTGATGGGTCAGTCTGAGTACATCAAAGAAATTTGTTTATATTGTTGCCCTTATTTGCTAGTACTGTATTTGGTTGACTTGAACTTTGACCTACTTTACAAAGATACCCCAGAAACTTTAAATTAACTAAAGACTTTTTTAAATATTGAGTGATGTATGTTGATAATTAACATTAATTTTATACATGTTTATGAGCTCATAAAACTGTTCTTTTAACCTATATGATATTCAGTAAACCACAAAAACTGATATCTTAATATTATGAAAATACATTGGGATGGAATCTCACAAAGTGGATCGTGCAATGTGACAATTGCTATTAACACATGTAAAGTAATAACTATTTATGATGATTTCAACTTAATTATTCAGTTGAGGGTTGCATTCTGTATATGCTAGAAGCATAAAAATAGCTGACAACTCTTAGATTTTATAGATACATCTTTAAAGAAGCTAAAAGCGGGTGACATATGTGTTCCTTGGAACACTTTAGTTTGTAATGATATTGATGTCCTGTACTCTTTTATAACACTTTCTCTTCTTTCAGCAATGTTAAGCTTGATTTAGCCACTGCATTATAAGGAGAGAAGCAGACCAG